AGCAGGACAGCTCTCCTCCTGGGAGTATTGAGGGCTGTGACAAAAAGCCCAATGGAGAGAAGTCTTCTTTTCCCAGGCCCAAAAAAGGCCTGAAAGGGTTTTTTAACAGCATCCGGCGCCACCGAAAGGGCAAGGCTGCAGAATGTGAGAAAACAGAGCTCCCTGAGTGGACTGGGGACGCGGAGGAGGCCAACAGTGCTCCTGGAGTGGTGGTGGAGAGCCGAGGGGCTGCAGAGGGCCAGGGAGCAGGGCCGGTCCCTGTGGCCGTGGCCTGCCCAGGGAGCTCAGAGGGTGATGGCACAGTGGGCATAGCCACCAGCTGTGGTGGGGACACTGAGCCCAGCTGCCCCGTTGCTGATAGAGGCAGCTCTGAGGGCAACACGGTGCCGGTGCCAGGGGACATTCCAGATATGAAATCAGAGGCTGACGCTGCTGTCTGTGCAGAGTTTGATGGTGACAGTCTGCTGCTGGCCTTGCATCCTGACTTCATGGACAACGACCCTTCCTGCCTGCACTCCGGGGACCTGCTAAACCTCATCTTGGGAGATGTCACCTCTCTGAAGAGCTTTGATTCCCTGACAGGGTGTGGAGATGACATTGCTGAGCCTGACATCACTGAGAGCAGCATCTCGGTGGAGCGCAGCAGGGATGCTGCCAAACGCAGCTCCTGCCTGGTCACCTACCAGGGCGGTGGGGAGGAGATGGCCATACCTGAGGAGGCCGAGGAGTATCTGCACCAGGTATGGAATGGCAGCGTGGCAGGGGACAGGAGCTATGGCGCCCAGGTGTCGAGTAGCAGCCTGGAGACACATGCCTCGCACGAGGCAGAAGCCCATCCCTACATGGGGGATGCCATGGACGGCGTCGACCTCCTGACGCCCCAGAGTGACCAACAAGAGTCTGCCCCGAACAGCGATGAGGGTTACTATGACTCTACCACGCCAGGGCCGGAGGACGAGGCCGGAGAGGAGCTCAAGAAGGACCGTCTGCCCCGGGACAGTTACAGCGGTGATGCACTTTACGAGTTCGACGCACTGATGAGCCCCTCTCACGGGGAGGAGTCCTTGTTTGAGGGCAAGGTCACACGCCCCACAATCTTCAGCTACTTCATGGACTTCTGCCTCCCTGCGGAGAAGAGCCTGATCCAGCAGATGATGGATCAGAAAAGGGGGATGATGGAAACAGAAGAGGAGGGGCTTGCGGCCATTCAGAAAGAGCTGCTGTACTGGGAGCTGCAGAGGGAACCGGTCCTGAAACGCCTGGATGTTCCCAGCAAGGAGAAGTGTCCTCGGGAAAAGCAGTGCATTGAATGTAAAACTAGAGCAGCCAGCTCGATTGGCAAGAATCAGAGTGGCCTTGGTAGCGAGCAGGTGGCCTCACACGCCCCAAACCAGGGTGTGAACGGTGGGGTTTCAGTGGCTAGAGCTGAAAACCCAGAGTGGAGGGATTTTCCAGGGACTCTGTGTCCAGAAAACTGTTACAACAGCCAAAAAGCCCAAGGAAGTTGCCTTATTCAGCTCACAAAGAACAACCCGGGGTTTGATTCAGACCCGGATTGTGGGTTGTTTGGGGACTCCATCCATGGCAGTGCAGCCTCAGCCAAAGCAGGGATGTTCCCTGGCTTCAGACTCCCAGAGCATGAGCGTGGTGGCGGAGCAGAGCCCACCTCCGGCGAGCCCCAGGGGGGCAGTGAGCCTGAGCACGCCGTGAGCTTCTCACAGGCACTGGTGGAGTTTGCCAGCAGTGGGACCCTCTTCTCCAGCCTCTCTGAAAGCTTGGGGAGCTCTGCCTCCAGCTCGTCCTTCACCCAGAACCTCCCTGCCCTCCCCACCATGGTCACCTTCGATGTTGTGGATGTGGAGCAGGAAGGGGAAGGGGAGTGTGAGCAGCATCCTGAGATGAACGCCGGCGAGGACATCGCTGAGGCCTTTGATGATGGCTACGGACAGAAAGAGTCGTTGGCTGAATGTGACGAGAGAATGTCCCCGGGGTACTCCCTGGGCTCCTTCCAGAGCTGCAACTGGGGGGTGGCC